ACCTCTGTACTGGAGGTAGACTGAACCTGAGGTATTTGGGTGTTGGATTCCCAAATACGGTCGGCAATATCGGCGAGATGAGGAAGAGGCGCATCGTTTGCATACAAGGGATTGCGCATGTCACGTGGCAGGCAACGAAGCCACATCTCTTTAAGGAAAGAGTCGCCAACAGCGAGCGGCTTAGCTAGAGCTTGCATCTTGTGCAGCAACTGCGAAAGCTTTCCATCCCCTAGCTTGGTTGCGTTAAGAAGCTGCATGACGCGAGCATGGTCTGATATGCCAAATCGCTTTAAGGCGACGGCCTTAAGCTCATCGTAACTTTTCTGATGTTCCGGAAGTTCCAAGATGTCGTCGAGGTCATCGACGACTTGCGGGGGAAGCGTGGCGACAACGCGGTGAAATTTGACATTGTCAGAGTTAACGCCATGTAACGAAAAAATGGAGTCTAGCTGGTTAAACCAGGCCTTAGGGTTAGTATCACTGAAAGGCGGGATAGGAAAACGGAACGCACTAACCTGATCGTCAGGTGAGTGAATAACCTTCATGGTGAAAAATTACGGAGCGTGTGAAAGTGAATGCAAGTATTAAAAAGTAAAAGTAGAAGGGTAGACAGAATAATTTACCGGATCTGAAAAGTAATATTAGTACCGAAGTCATAAAAATAGTTTTTTTCAGGGTCACCAATCATAGCGCGAGGATCGCGCGCTATATATCCGGTACGTAGGAGCTGGGCTCTAACCAAGGGCGGAATTTTGGTTACGGGCCGAGGTTAAATGGAACAGCATGCACCAATTTGGCAATGGCGAGCGTTAAGAAACAATTAAAGAGGTTTCAATAATAAAATGGAATGCACTTAGTATATTTATAGGGAGGTAAAGTTAAGTAAATTTTGTACCGGGTTCGAGTAACCACTGACCGCTTATAAAAGGCCGTCGCAGTAGCCTGCTGAAATTTCTTCACATCCTGTTCCACGTCCTCAAATGTTCGCGAATATATAATTTCACCAAACGATTAAACGAAAGAAGATCTTCCACCATGATGGCAGCTTCCAACGACGCGCCGCGGCTCATAACTGCATTTCGTTAGCTACTTGAACAACAACAGTGTTAAAATCTACAAACTTTAGTATTACCACGTACCATAAATGCTCCTGAAACTCTTCATTATACACCACACAACAGCAATAAGCAACAAAGTCCACATGTACCATGGCGTACCAAACCACCCTCACCAAATTATCAGCAAAACACTTTGGTTAGAATCCCGGTCCGACGGTACGCGACTAGACGGCCAACCAAAAGCAGTGGGTAGAAGACACCAAAGTAAACTAGGGAAGAAGTTTACTGGACGGGATGAGCGTTAACGCATGCTAAAAGAAGGGCACCCGGAGAGAGCTAGCTAGGGAGAATGTCGTTGGCGTCGAGAGCGTAGACGGAGCGTCGTTCGCAGTCGAGCCGCGCGCCAAAGGCCGAGATCCTTTTCGTGTTTCCAACAAACGGGAACAACGTTCCAACAGGCAAACCGAGTAGTTCCCTAATACATGAGAAAGCTATAATTTGAATATTTTAGGAAAGTTTACACGGTCATATGGGGGAATCTCCAGTTAACTACACAGTTACTGGTTCTTCTGGTGGCATGCAATGTGACCTCTGCAGTTCTTGGTTCCATGAGGCTTGCACTGGGTTGGATAGACAGCAGTATATCCTCCTACAAAACAGCGATAATTTACCTTATAATTGCCCTGGTTGTGTGAGGCACAAAGCATATCGTCTAGTCCCAAATGACGAATTTGAAACTTTGGTGAATAGAGTGGGTACCCTTCTATCTTTGTTTAGTTCTTTAGAGGGGAAGGTTGATCAAATCGTCGTAAGCCTTGAACGTGCAGGCCTTCTCAGAACAAGCGTGCGTTCAGACGATTGCATAAATAGTACGGCTTCGAAGGATTCACCAACTCTTGAGGCGGCGCCTGAAGATGGTAAACATCCTGACGTTATATTGAACTCAGTTGTGAGTGGGGAAGTTGTACAGACCAGTGTATCTGCGAAGGCAAAGCGACGCAAGATAAAGAAATCCATCAGTACAACCAAACCCAAGCTAAAAGATGTAACGGTGGGCTCTGTCGATACTCCGTCCCCGGAAACGAAGGCAGAAAACTCTTCCACCTCATTGCCGGAATCCTTCTCCTGTGCACCTGCTGTTCCTACTAAGGAGGATATGAACTCAAGCGCTGCGCCGGCCACTGCTACGGTGACGCGTGCCGTAAACACCCCTCGTCGTAGTGATGCATTTACGGACAGCAGCGTTATCTTTAGGAATATCTCGGAGTCCTCTGCGGCTCTTCCGAAAGATCGCATGCTTGACGACCTTCATTGGTTCAAACTTTGCGTTTCTAAACTACTTCCACCCGGGTTTCCTGGGGTTACTGTTAGAAAACTTACTAGGCTTGGAAACATATCGGGTGATAGTACTAAATGTAGACCCCGTCTATTACGCGTGGTCCTGTCTACACCGGAGGAGCGCCAAGCTCTTTTGCGCTTCGCCTTTAAACTAAAGGGTTCCGGAGTGAGTATACAGCCGGATCTACCTTTAGCAGATAGGATAAAGCTTAAGGAAGCCATCAAAAACCTTAAAGCGCGTCGCGAAGCTGGCGAGAAAGGTTTATGTTTGGTGGGTTTTCGGGTGGTGAGCCGACGGTCCACTTCCGCCCTACCAGAGCCCATTCTGGTAGCACACGACCCGGGGCTCTCCATACCAAACGTTTTCACATAGTTCTTAGTAATGTGCGTAGCCTGCGAAACAAGATGTGTGAAGTAGGGGCCCTAATAGACCACTCCCATCCTGATGTACTCGCGTTCACTGAAACCTGGTTGTCTTCTGACGTCATGGACAGTGAATTATACGTTCCGGGCTACGCAATACTGAGATCTGACCGCCCATCTGATCGCCGCGGAGGTGGAGTCGCCTTGTATATCAGATGTGGTGTAAACATATCAAAAACACATACCTTTAACTCAGCTGATAAAACTGTTGAAGCTCTTGCAGTTGAAGTCTGTACCGAATCAACGCAATTTAAAATTGTGCTGCTGTATAGGAGCCCTGATAGCGCTTCTAGGAGTTTCATTGACTTCATCCGCACTCACTCTGCGAACAGATGCTTGATAATGGGGGACTTCAACGTCCCTGAAGTAAATTGGCATGACCTATCTTATGAGGCAGCGACAACAGGGTTGGCTGCCGAGCTTGTTGACTTGACACTGGAAGTACCCTTACACCAATTTGTCGATCGACCCACCAGGTACATGGTGGGTCATGCTCCTTCTCTGTTGGACCTAGTTTTCGCAAAGTCGGTTGACTTTGTGAGTGACCTTGAGTACGGTCCCCCTTTGGGAGCCAGTGACCATACGTGTTTGTCATTCACTTGTGCTCTCATTAGAGACTACGATTCACGCAGGGTCCGGACTCCGAACATTTGGCACGCCGACTTTCCGTCTATTAGAGCCAAGGCAGTAAGTTTCCCATGCATCATCTTGCCGGATGATGATATACAGACGGCTTGGGATACGTTTAAGTCTTTCCTCTTTAACATATCCCACCCCACATCCCTCTTTCGGTAAAGAAGAGTACCAAAGCGAAGCCACCATGGTTGGACTCAGTCGCACACCAGCTAATGAATAGACGGGCAAGATGCTGGCGGATCTACCGGACAGTTCTCTCAGAATGTACTTTTCGGCGTTATCGTGAAGCTCGGAATGCTTGCAAGAGTCATTTACGAGCTGCTAGACTTAGCTATGAGATGGAGCTGGCTAACTCAGCCTCCGCGAATCCCAAAAGATTCTTCGCCTACGTCAAAAGGCGTAGTAACGTTGGCTCATCTATCCCAGTGTTATTAGGCAGCGACGGCGCCACTGCCACCACTGATCACGAAAAAGCATGTCTACTCAGTGCGCAGTATGCCGGAACTTTTGTTCGGGATGAGCAATTGCCGCATCTTGACCTAGCAATGAGAGTCCCCCAGGACTCCTGTTTAACACACGTCACAATTTCGGAGGCAAAAGTTCTCCATCTTCTTCAGGGGCTAAATCCGCTGGGATGGATGATATTCACCCTAAGCTTCTGTACGAACTCGCAAGCGAGCTATGTGGCCCAGTGACGCGTTTGTTTCAATTGTCGCTTCGCAGCTGCTCCTTTCCCAAGGACTGGAAGGATGCTATCGTGTGCCCGATTTTTAAAAAGGGCGACAAGCATCTCCCTGCCAATTATAGACCGGTAAGTTTGACAAGCGTACTGGTCAAGGTATTGGAGAAGTTGGTCAGAGATGTGCTTGAAGACCACCTGCGGGAGTTTGGTCTGCTCAGTCCACTGCAACACGGCTTTCGCAAGGGTCATTCCTGTATGACTAATTTGCTAGTTGCACGCGAATGTTGGGCGGATGCTTTGGATCGGGGTCATGCAGTAGATGTAGTGTTTATTGACTTCTCCAAGGCGTTCGACACTGTATCACATTCTCGCCTTTCCTTGAAACTTCGGTCCTATGGAATATCCGGGCGTGCACTAAAATGGATCACCACGTTTCTGGAAGGGAGAGAGATGTGTGTTCGTGTGGGGTCTAGTCTGTCTTTCCGTCAGTCAGTCCTCAGTGGGGTCCCTCAGGGTTCGGTGCTTGGCCCGTTGTTATTTTCCTTGTATGTCAACGAGCTGCCCGAACTGCTGGAGGTACCATCTCTCATGTTTGCAGATGACCTAAAGTTTTGGCACATAGTGTCTGACTTCGATGGACCCCAGACTCTGCAACGGGCCCTCGATAAACTTTGGGACTGGGCTGCTCTGTGGCAGTTGCCCATAAATTATGCAAGTGTTCCATCTTACGAATAGGGCCAAATGGCCCCCAAACGCGTTATTTGCTTGGCGGTAATGAACTACACCATGTTTCCCAATTGGTAGACCTAGGGGTCACGTTGTCTTCAGAACTTAAATCCAGTGAGAACTGGAGGAAAGCTACGTGCAAGGGTTTCAGAATGTTGTGGATGATCCGCAGGGCATTCGGGACCATCACGGGCGCTATGTTTGTTAGGTTATTCTCAGCATTTGTCAGGCCACACTTGGAATACTGCATCCAGGCTTGTCCACCTTGCTTAGTCAGGGACAGGATGTCAGTGGAGAGTGTTGAGAGTTGGAACCAAACTGGTCCATGGACTACGGAACCATTCTTACCCAGAAAGACTACTTGCGCTGGGAATGTTCTCGATGCATTATCGTCAACATCGAGGCGACCTAGTCTTGACCTATCGCATACTTACCGGTAAAATCGGACCCGATTTATCTGGGCTTTTCCAACCGGCTCGGCTTCCATCGCTCCGAGGTCACTCGCTGAAGCTACACAAACCTCGATCGGATGGAGTCCGGGCGGACTTTCGTTTATCACGCCGAGTGGTGGATTCCTGGAATGCACTGCCCGAGAACGTGGTATTGGCACCAACAGTGAAAGAGTTCGAACACCGACTCGACGCTCTTGGCCTTCAATTCTTAACATTCCCCTTCACGTCCTAGCTTATTCGTCTTATTGAATTATTAAATCTATTACGTTTTTTTCTTGACGCTCTTATTACTTTCGTACTTCTCTTTCTTATTTCACGTGACCGGTGCGGCGGGGACTGCCAGTGCAGGTCGCGTGGGTATTAATTGGTTGACCGTGGTGTGATTCGCGCGCGCTGATCTGACTCTTCTGGATTCCAGTTATCGCGGACGAATAATACCCTGGATCAACGACGCGCCACGGAAGGAACATTCACGGGGATTTATCCTACTGTTCCGGTCCCACTTGAACTTGAACTTATCGATACCCCGTCGAGGTTTTCGCTCGCATTTTTCAGATTTGTATGTCAATACGGCAAACCACTATGACATCCCGCTCAAAAGATGTTCAGTGCGCTCTGTGCGAAAGGTGGCTGCACACTTCGTGTTGTAGCATCGATGTCGCCCAATATGAATGTCCAATGCACTGCCTCTGAGGTCGTGAGCTCCCATTGTGACTCATGTCGAGTAATAGTGAATGACAAACGCCTTCTGGCTAACCACCGTCCTCAGTATATGCAACCCTGTCACCCTGGCCATGTACAATACATAAGCTGAGTCACCTGCATCATCCATTTCCCTACCTGCATCTTGGTCTGCTACACTAAAACCAAGCCGAAGCCGCACGCTCTCCGCTACGTCGGCCGGGTCATTACCTTCCAGTAAGGTGAAGCGTCGACCGGAAAATAAGCCCAAGATGTATGCTGCTGTGGCGAGCGCCACTGCTCCGACAACAACCAGCCAGTGCCCAGCTGAAAGCATGCCCCCACAAAAGCTGGTCAGGTCAGGTCAAAAGGACGATAGAGGCTTCCGCCTAACGAACGCCCAGTTCTTGTGCCGGTAAGTGAAACGGCCCCCGGCACATCGACGTTGGGCTGTCTCTTCTTGCTTCTTCAATGGAATAAAGCAAGAACAAGAGCAATCTTTGCACTTTCATATGCCAGCATCAAAATACACTACATATTCCAGTGCAACTACAATATCTCTGGAAAAGGATGG